ATGTATATATATATATATGTATATATTATTAATGTATTGTCATTTTTTTTAAGTATATTACTAATATTTTATGTATAAAATTTGAAACTCTGACTACATTACGATTTCACATCTCNCTAGTAAGCTTCACCTCTTGCCTTCTCTGCGCGCCAACCCCCTGAAGATTCTAATTTATATTGGAAATCACATCAAATTAATTAATTTGATTAAACACTGCTAATGAAAGAATTAATATTGTTTCATCAAACGATAAGAAATGTTTCTGTTTAAAATCATTAATAAATAATGTAAAACATGTGATCGCATAAAAAGATTTAAAAATCGTTTATAAAACATTTAAAGATACTGCTACAGCAATGAGATTGGTGGAATATGACATTCAAATTGATGATTTTCTCAAAGCAGCTGCTGCCATTATTTAGCCTTGTCAATCGAGACAATTTTTCGCATAGTTTTTACCATCAGAAAATATTTTTGGTGAAAATATTTCAAGTAAATTTAAAACTTATTTTACAGAAGATTTTATTTTTAATTAAAATAATCTTACTCTTTTGCACATAACTTGAGTTATTGTTACGGAAGACAAGTTTTGAGAACCGTTTAATTTAACTACAGCTAAAAATATTGATTGTGTACGAAAAACAAATAACTCAGAGCAAATTGCTTGTTGTAAAAAAAAAGGTTGAATTGTTCAAGAAAAGCGTGGAAAGAAAATGAGGAGTGGTGAGCAGGCATAAGAACAAATCAAAGAAAGTTAAAGGAGAGCTCAGGGGGGTCCAAGAAAAGCATAGATAGAGAATAAGGGTAGTAAGCATTTATTATTATTACTCCTGAAATAATAAAGTTTAAAATGGTGCTTTGGCGCTTGCGCGCTGCGCTGGGACATCTATCGTGAAATGCCTCTTATATACGTAGGTATGTTACGTAATAAATATAATTGTATGTGTGGCGTAGTCCACACAAGTCCTTACAGCCATTTTTAGAAAACTCTTTTGGCCCACTTTCATTTTTTTCCTACAGCTCCCGATCACCTACCATCTCCCCTCATTATTTCTCCATAAAATAAGATAGAATTTCGTCTTATTTCCTATTGAACTTCGATGAGATATGACTGCAGTGTTGCTATTTCAAGTAAGATTTGTTGTATTAAATTGTTGTTTAATGTTAAAAAATAAAACTACACAGACGTGTATGTATATTAGCGGACATTTTTTGTTAGTAACATAACTAGTAACAGAGTGAAAGTCTGCAGATGTTGTATAAGTTAAAACAGCTGACAAATCATATTCAAATAAATACATGCAGTTGGTGAAAATTCATCTTTTTACATACAAATCATTTGCATTATTTCAGTCAAAAGTTGATTCGCTGAATATTTCATAAAGCACATCAAAATTTTTCGGATAAAACTTGAATTATATAGATTTTCAATGTGTATTTCTATACCAGATACATGTATATTTGTAACAAGAGTTTGCACTTTAAAATTTTATTTCTATTCTCAAGAAGCTTATATGAAGTTTCTGTACTAACTAAAGATTCATGATATGATTATAAATAAGTATGCAGTAGGTTGACAATAACAAATATAAAAAGAATGAAAAAACAATTTATTTATTCATTCTGTATTTTTACTATAATATTAAATACAATATCTATAATCATCGTTGTTAACCAATAGTTTCTTTGATTGATTATGATGAAAATTTAAGGCAGGTGAAAAATATTCTTTTACGCTTACAACAATTAAATTTTTGCCTGTCAGTTTAAAAAACTTTGCGTGACAAAATCTGCTATGTTAATATTCCAAAAAACCACTGTTTCTATTCAGTAAAAATACCTTGGGTGAAACAGGAACAAGTTTCAAATAATTTAACAATAGGTCGACTTAATATACCATCTCCTAAGGACTCAGAGTGATTTTTCTTCATTGTATCATACTACACATAATAAAGAATTTCAAATCACATTAATGGAGCAGAATCTTTTGATATGTTAAGAACAGTTGACAGAATATTTCAGAGTGCATTTTAAGATTATATTACTGCTATAAGTTTAATGTTAGACGATTTTGAAATTCATAATATTTTCGAAGAAGCATGTAACATTGTGCTGCCATGCCAATTGAGAAAATTTATTTGAGTAGTTTTTAATGTCTGAAGATTTTTGTGACAAATATTAAGGGAAAAATTTTAAGCAATTTCTTATTAAAGATTTTAAACAAAAAAATTAGTTGTTTTTTTTACAACTAAGTTTAAAGTATAAATTTCAAGAAATCTCAAAAAAATTTATAGTTAAAAGAGCATTACGTGATTTATGTAATACAAATATCCATTTTTGTAAAAAATTAATAGTTTTAAGAGGAGATTTCAGATGAATTCTTTCAGATTTGAAGAATATCCATAAAAGCTTGAATGCACAAGAAGGTATTAAATGAGTATTGAATCATCATATCTTTAGCCATTGTTTCGTATTCTAAAACTTAATATCAGTATTTGTTCAACTGACAAAACATTTTAAATTGTTATTATAGATATTGGAGAAGAAAAAATTGAACAATTGCAAGTGCGAAATAAATGGAAGTTAACTGATTGTTCTGTTACTATTTGTAAAGATACTAACTTTTCAATAAGTAATGTTATACTTACTTCTCATAACAAACATATCTACTTTTTAAGTAATAAAATTCTCAACTATGTATAATGAAAAATAAGAACACCTTAAGCAGAGATGATGCTACTTACAAAAGTGATGATGAATCTGATAGTGATATTTATATAAATTCTCTAATTGAATTTATAACATAATTTCTAACGGCTTATTTACACATGAGCTTAGTTTAAGACTTGGAGCTATGGTTATATTGATACGAAATAATGTTACGAAAAAACTTACTAAGAATTTAAAAAAAAAACATCGCGCTACAGTACTACCTCAAGGGTTGTGTCAAAATGTGTTAACAAATTATATAAAAACAAAATAATTGTGAAGGAAGTGGTAGAAATTAGCTGAAGAGGGCTTGAACAAATTTTAGAGCGTTTGTCTTTTTATGTGTTTAGAAATAGTAAGGATGCTGACGGGGGGTTTCTTAAAAAGTGTAAAGAAAGTGGAGAGGAGAGGGTGCAAATAGTCATCTAATTAGGAATTATATGATAACCCATATTGTTTTCCTTATCTAGAGATATGGCTGAAACACATTTCTTTACCGTTGGAAGTTTTAAATTAAAAGAAAACTTGAAACTCTCATATATGTAACGTATATAAAATATTTAATGCATAAAACACACTCAAACTTCGGATATATGTGCGTACATCTATATATATATANTTATACTTTGTGAATACCATCGAATTCGTACCATATAAATTTTTTTTTTTTTTTACATAATTGTGCTCTACGTCCGGCTCCTTTTAATAAGGGCCCTACTATGGGCACTTAGCACTTGGGAAAGGGATGGGAGGCCTCCCATTACTGGGAGGGGGTAGGGGCAAAATTAGGCAATTTTTGCTGCGAGGAGGTCGCCTAAACCCTCCTCGAGGAGCATTACGTGGTGAAAAAGCACATGTGAATTATCACAGAGGTACTTGCCCGAAAAGTCGCACTGGCCGGGAATCAAACCACGGTCTCCCGCATGCCAATCCACAACCTAGCTGACTGAGCCACCGCGCGCTCTAAACTATATAAATATACGATTTTGAGGTTTGCATCTTGAAAACACTACATATAATTGTCCGTCGTCGAATAAAGGTCTTTTAAATACAAACCACCACAGTCAAAACTTTGTCCTTGTGAGTTATGAATTATTATGGCAAATAGTAAAACTAGAATTATTGCTTTCTGTACGGTATGAAAATAAAGATGATTAGTAACCTATATTTAAATGTTTTTGGTGTAAGAACTTTGTTTTCTAATCTTGATAGAGTGAATAATTTTGCTTTATATCATACTCTATTGTAAAAATCGTCACTTATTCTTAAATTTTTCATAAACACAACCATTGCTCCAACTTCGAATGAAAGCCATGTCGTTGGATACCCTTACGAAAACTATCTAGAACTTAAAGTAGACAAAATTATGTTAACGTTACTGTTAGTAATGGCATAACCTTGTATGTTGCACGATTCATATCATAGTGAGTTGATGTATTCCCGTTCAGTAGAATTCGAATTTTCTTATTTGAAAAATAAGCGTATTTGAAATGAAAATATAACCTGACCTTATTTATAGCAAAATATACTTAATAGTTGTCTCATTTTTCAGAATTTAAAAGTTTTTATTTTGTATTCTTTTGTCTTTGATAATAAAACATAAAAATTTATTCCTATTCAATGATTTTTCTCTTAATTTCAAAATGTGGAAAATTTTCATTAAAAAAAGAATTAAATAGTCTTAGTTATGTAACAGTTTATGTAACTACAGTTTCATAAAGACTTATTGTAGTTTACCAATCATCTCATTGTTTAGAAACCAATGTCTGTATGTTCATTTAATTTATTAAGGTATAGATAGGCTTCGCTTTTTAAAAAATTATATTTTATTTGTACTTTGTTAATGTCAGTGCAAGATATACATTGAAGTAATGGTAGTTCACCAAATTATCGAAAACTTTGTTTGCATTTGTAATTAAATACAGCATTGAAAGAAATAACTAGCTTTTAAATTAATGGATAAGTTTGGCGTCAGATATTATTAGAAATAAAGTACAATGTGCTGTATGTACATATGTACAAAGTACACATGGATATTTATGTTAACAAAGGTCTACACACGAATTTCTCAAATTACTTTACAAACATCTTTTGCTGAATTCCAGCATGTATTTCAAAATTTTTAATATTATGGATTGAGCAATAAATTTTTACGTGATAGAGGTATCAATTTTATGGTGACACTATTTTTTATGAGTTACCTTTATTAAAAGCTCAAAAAAGTGATAAAAAGAAGAATTGTATAGTTATGACTTATATCATGAGTAGTGTTTTTTTTGTGTTTCACGCAGTACATTGTTGAACGGCATGGAAAGACATTACTACCACAATACCTTGGAATGTATCGATTAACAGTTGATGGAATTGAACACTATGTTGTAGCAATTCGAAATATTTTCTCAAATCATTTATCCACTCATAAAAAGTTTGATTTAAAAGGATCTACAGTCGATAGAGAAGCTTCGGATAAAGAGAAAGAGAAAGAACTGCCAACGTTCAAAGATAATGATTTTGTCAAGGAGAAAATGAAGATCTTTATTGGAGAAGAAGCTAAGACAAAATTAATTGAAACGTTAACTGCTGATGTTGATGTGAGTATACGTACAAGTATACATTATTTTAGCATACATATATATTATATCTCAATTAAAAGTTGTTTATTAGATACATCATATACGTATAAAAAAAAAACTACATGAATTACTACTAAGCGTGATGAAAAAATAAAAGAGAAGTTAATATGTTCGAAAAATTGGTATACGATTTTACTAACAAAAAGACAGACAGCTTACTCTAGAGCTTTTTATAGCCCCTTTCTTAAAATGGACTTCAAATCTGTGACTGGAGTCAGTGATTAGCCTTAGAAAAATCAGAGTTATCAAAAGTCCCTGTAACTTTTTATAACAGCAATTTAAAAAGCTGGCCTGAACAAAAAACCATTGTCATATTAATATGTATTTGTATATCTTACTATATTCTATTGCTGTTTAGGTATAGCTGTCTACAGTCACTCCCCGCAGCCCACCTAATATCCCATGGTTGTCCACAACTCCCCACAAAACATTGTTTTATTCCTTATTTTTGCACGATTAGTTTTTTATTCAGCTCCCCACAACTCTCACAGTCGCCACACTCGATTCCTTGTAACCCTTCACGATTTCCTACATCTGCGTCGAGATAATATCTATTATTTTCTACACTACCATAGGGCAAATGAACAAAGTTTATAGTTTTGAATGATAATAAAAACCTATTTTTTATTTACATTGTAACTAAAAATTTCGTAAAATCCAATAAGTGTTTATTTATAAAGCTTGTGTATTAATAATATAACAAAAAAAAGTTTATCTAGTCAAGTATTTAAGCCTAAAGTAAGATTCTCCCACCTTATAAGCAAAGAAGAAATGCTATACTAAGTTAGAGAAACTGAGATGATGAGCAAGCTAGAGGAAGCGTGAAAGTCGATAGTGAGTAGTCGGCCTGTATTCTACACTTTACTGTTTTTCTTTTATTGCTCTACCAAAACAAAAGAAAATAGGAAGTTTTTGTGCGTTAAGTTCTTAATTTATATAGTTCAAATATCTTTGTACATGAATTTTTTATACGACTTGTTATATAGACACATAGTGTTGAAATTTCAATATTTAAATAAAATAACAATAAATGTTGTGACACTAATGAGTTTAACCAAAGTTGGTCGAACTACACAACTACCAATATAAATTTTGTTACTCGATACACTAGTGTAGTAAATGGATCCAATAGATATTAGTCTTAGAGTCTTGGATTCTTTTTAACAGCTAGTTAAATAAATAATTCGTAAACGTGATATTTGATTAAATGGTGACACGAATAAAAAAATTGGAGGGGAGTGGGGGCGAAATAATGTTTTCTTGTGTAATTGATAATTTATTTAAAAAATTCAGTTTAAGTTGCTTTTTTTCAATTTAAATATCGTATTTGATCGCTACAAAATGATCGCTTTTTATTATCAACCATAGTGGACTGTCTTACTACACTACACATGAATGTAAACACAATAGTGACAAAAGGCTTGCACTGCAAAAGCACGTTAATGTACACACGTTAGTATATACCTATACTGTCCACATAAGATGAGCCCAGACTTTGTGCTCTGAGATCTCCTTATGCTTAAAATTATTTTCTGTGTGTAGAAGAAAACGAATTTCGCAAGATATAATCACAAATGTAATTACGTAGATTTACCAAGTCTATGCTGAAAATATTGGAGATAAAAGAGCATTATCTGCTCACTTCCAGTAAAATAAGTTTTTATTAAGTTGATCATAATCACCTCTTCACATAAAATTTTAATACGGTGGTTATCATATTTATTATAAACTTTTTTTTTCAATAGGCAAGTATTTAGACTATTTAACTATGATCTGAAGAGAATCATTATTTTCAAGGAAATTTGTTAATTTTTCGAGATCGTACGATTTATGTTTAGATAGTGTTAGATAATTCTCATTCGTGACGTTTTTTGTTAAGTGCAGGTATGTAAAAGCATCTTATTATTCAGCTTAGAATATTTAGCTTGTTTAAAAGTTGTCGTTTACTGCAATTGAGAAAGAAAGTATAACAAGTTTTATAAACACTACTTTTTTAAGCTAACAAACCAATTGGCTACACTTACTTGCCTTTAATAATAAATGTCAGAAAATTTAATTATTTGTATGAAATAAACCTGTATAGAAATATATCAATATTTTTACCATTAATATTTGATAGTCAACTCGTTATTAATAAAAAAAACAGATACATCCTTCCTGTCAGTTCAGAGTCATCAGTTCAAAGCCCTTCTGAAAAGGCTTTTGACTTTTAAAACATGAATATAAAAGTCTATAAAGATTTTGCGCTTTTACTACAGACTTGTCCAAAGTCTCTAACGTTGATTTAACCAATCACGTCCAACGAATTCAAAAAGAATCTATTAAATCTTAATCTTAATTATGACTTATTGTAGTTTACCAATCATCTCATTGTTTAGAAACCAATGTCTGTATGTTCATTTAATTTATTAAGGTATAGATAGGCTTCGCTTTTTAAAAAATTATATTTTATTTGTACTTTGTTAATGTCAGTGCAAGATATACATTGNACTTTCATTTTATAAGAAAACATTTATAAGTTACATAACATAAACATTTTACAATAATCCTTATAATCCTTATAGTAATGTAATAAAGTATTAAGTTACAGAATTATTACATTCGTTTATTCGGGACTGAGTGTAAGGGAAGAAATGGACTCGTGAATATTACGTCTTCTTCTTTTCCTTGGCCCCTGATTTTGTGTTGTTAATTATTAGTCTATTAAGTGCATCGAGATTTGCTGACACTCCCATCTCAAGGCATAGTTTATAGTGCCCGTCGTATTTTACCAAGTTGATATTTTCCTGGCATGATGGGCAGGTCTTTTTAAATTTCATTTGTGTTTTACACTGAAGACTGTGCACTTCAAGGTGGCATTTGGATATTAAATTTCCACACGATAAATGTGTTACTATTTCACGGCTTTTTTGCGAGTCTTTTTGGAAGTAATTCGCCCCATACATTTTGAGTCCTTTGAGGGCCCTTTCCGTCGATTCTTCGTTACAATATGTAGCGAAGCTTAGGTATAACTGTCTTCCATCGTCGCGTATGACATCTAATGTGTAGCAGTTTAAATGGCTTAAAGGGCCAACGGTCATTAACAACTGGGTGTATTCATCCGGATTCATAATGGCCGGTACCTTAAATACTATTTTTCGCGGAACTGAGTCATTGTCTTTTGGATCGTTATTTATTTTGATCGTGTTTTCTGTTTTTGGTTCTTTTGTGATTACATTTTTTTGGCTGCTGAGTTATGCAATACACTACTGTCTGGCACATGTTTTCTGCCCACTCAGCGGATCCATACGTTGCATAAACGGGAATAATATCTTCCCGTGTTTGTTTTTTGGTTAAAAAATGAATATCTTCTATTGGATATTTGTTTTCGAAAAATTTAACAATATAGTTTGTGTTAATAGGTTTTTTTAAAATGACGCTTATTTTAGTCCCGGTACGATTTACTCTTACAAATCGTAATATTGGACTAAGCTTTTCTTTATTAACTTTTTTAAGGGTTTTGACTTCCGTCATTGACTCTACATTCTTAGTTGGTGCTTCGATGTTTCGTGAAGATGATTTGTCTTCTATTTCAATGGTTGTTGTGTCATTTAAGGTTGTTGCAGCAACTGCTGCATCACATATTTAGTAATATTCGGCCTTGTAGCTGGTGTATGGGGCCAAACATGGCTGTTCCTTTAATGATAACATCGGACCAAATTTGTTAAGCGATGTTTTCAATTGGCGCTTATCAATTGGTTCTTCGGTCATTATGTTTAACCAACGTCCATTTTTCGATATATTGTGGACCTTGACTTGTCTTTTATTTGGCAAGGGGACAGGTGCCGTTGACTTTGCCCAATTCCTCTCGTCTGATACATTCAACAATGAGTCGAATAGCACCTGTAGCGTTGGCGCTGCATTTAGGTTATCAGCCGCTATCGCTGCCTCCCGTGGTGAAAGAAATGCCACTTCGTAACTTGAGTACCCCATAGTACAGGGTTTCCGTTCGATGGACCTTACTATCCGGAAGTTTTCCAGAATTTTTTTTAGCATTAGCCTACTATAATCCCCCTGCAGCAGAATGCTAAGCCGGGATCCATCAGCCATTGCTTCTGTGATATTAGCGTTTTGTTTGTCCACTGTGTGTGTAATTCTGCAAGCGTAAATATGATGGATGTTGTAAGGATCATTACTTGATACTGTACATGTAGGAGTTCTTGTAGTGTAATTCGTGTTGTTATTGTTCGTAAGTGATGTATGGAATGCAGATATGAGAATAAAATTAGGTTTATGAAACTATTGGATAATAGGTAGNATGATATGATTATAAATAAGTATGCAGTAGGTTGACAATAACAAATATAAAAAGAATGAAAAAACAATTTATTTATTCATTCTGTATTTTACCTTTGTATTAATTTATATTATTTTTTATCGGGACATCCCAGTGCTCTTTACCAATTATGAAGATGCTTTTGTATCTACTTTTTAATACTAATTTTTGTTTATTTATTTAATTTTTTTTTTCACACTGTTTAGAAGGAGACTTTATGTATACGAACAATTGATAGTTATGGCATTCTTATTATTAAGAGTCATTTTACAAATGCGGAAAAGTAATTCAAGACATATTTATTGCACTGTTATATGTAAAGTGAAATTACCTCTCAAAAACTTTAATCAAAAAAGTGTACCAGTGTGATATTTTATTAAAAAACAAAAGTCTAAGAGAGAGGAATCAATCACTAAAAAATGTAATGGGTAGTTTTCATGATTATATTTACTGGATAAAAATATTGAATCACGAAGACGAAAAATATTTTTGAAAAAAATATTTTTCTTCCAAAACCTTAATCGTATAGTAAAGAAAAGTTTGTCCATTGGGAACAGTCATAAGCAAATTTAGTCTTCCATTATTTTGGTTAATATTTATAATTTTAATTAGTGTAAAACTTGTTCATCGATTTTATTCTAAG